CAATGCTTTTCATGCCCGTGAGAGCTGACTGACAGGATATAGTCTGCTGAGAATGTTTATCTAATCTTCTCCGCGAACAAGTCGGGCGAATACTTTGGCTACGCCCGTATGGCGTCGCCAATCCTCGAGGATGGCTCTCGTATCGCAGGCTCGGTACCCAAACCCGAGACGATCGTAGATGCGACGGACGTGCCAAAGTCGATTGCTACCCCAGCAACAGAATGGGCGCCCCGTGGAAGGATCATTGACGACTCGGCACGCGGCACGATCTTCTGGGAAGCAGAGTTACCCGATACCGATGCCGAAGAGGAGGATGAGGATAAAGGCGATAAAGGCGATAAAGGCGACAGAGACGAGGTGCCCCAACAAGTAGAAGGCGATGCTTCAGCCGTGCCGCAGAGCTGGGGTAAGCCCTTCAAGATTGAGTGGGTCTCTACAAACCGCCTACCGTTTTACCGCACCCGGGGCCTTCGCAACCCATGGAATGCCAATCGCGAAGTCAAGATCGCAAGAGATGGTACAGAGCTCGAACCCAGTGTCGGAGAACGCCTGGTCCAAATGTTCCATCGCTTGGGCCCTTCCGCTACGGGTTTACCGATAATGCTGCCCGGTGTAGCCCCCGGCATGATGCCTCAGATGCGAACATTCTAGGTACGTGCTTTTTGCTTGAGTTGGGCATGTTGCATAGTACTTGGTGAATCAACTGCATAGTCTTTATTACAGTTGCGCTTAGCATGTCATGACTCGAGTGCTGGACAGGTAAAGATGACACGCCTTTTCTTTTGGACTGGAACGAGCTTCTAATTGGGGCTCTCCACTGCCGGGCGGTGGGGAGCTAGAACAAGCTCCTTTGCATTCGTTCGCTTTTGTTTTCCTTATCAAAGAGGACGAAGACTTGACGACGAGACGATCTTTAACAAGCAAGATGAGATCAGGAAACGTGTGAGGAATGAAGCTAGTGCCTGTGTTGTTATGGGCAATTGAGTGTTCTCTCCTTCCCGTATTGCTTTCGTCGTCACTGTACTATCATGGAAGTTGTCTGTTTCTGTACTCTAATTGCTTTCGTTTGTAATGTAACGTGTTGTCTTACATCATCCAGCAGGGACTGCGCTTCTATTTTGTGCACGTCAATTTGTTGTATTTATAACGGCACCCTTGCTCCTACGGTCTTTTCCTTTTTCCGTATTTTCTACATGTTGAATCCTTGATGTAGTCTTCATTGGCCCTTTCTGCGCTGGCTGGATCGCGCAGAGATCATTGAACTCGCTCACGTTCTGGCCCTTACAGGCGTCTAGTCCCTATGGGTAGGAGTACCGACTGCTTTTCGGACGGACTGGCCGCGACCAATGATTGACCATGAATAGATGCAAAGCGAAGACAACGTGGAGCAGTATTATTATCAGCCCACTGTGGCCATTAGGCAATAGTGTGCTTTGACCATAGAGGATAACCGGTACGGCACATGCAAAACAGTCAAGATGATGAGGCAGCAAGTTTGGAAGGTCCGACGATTCGACCGGCGCTAAATGCCTCTGCCGTAACTTCTTCAGAATCGTCATGAGAGAACGTAAAATTTACGCCACCTCTACGTGTCCTTCCACATGCTCGAGTGCCCAGCGAAGCAACCCCCGAGGTTTATCTACTTCGGATGATCGGACTTCGCGGTGCACGCGGCAAGCATGCATCCGACAAGGATTACTCCTAAAGCAAATCTACGAATATCATGCATACCCGGACAAGTTCTAAAAAGCCTCACTTTGCAACCCAACGCTTCTAAGAACGCTATAGTAGATCCAGCCAGTCCCGCACACCCACACACACCTTCCCTAGGTACATGCAGAGCACGGCTGCAACGCCGTTGTATGTGGGTGACAGCAAGAGGAAGGGAGTATGAGAAAGCAACAAAGTACAGTTCCAATAGACAGATGGCATGTGCCCAATATACAGACCATACAGTGTTGTTGCTGTTTCCCACCTGCCAATTCCAGACCCCTAGTCCACACAGCTCCAAGTTACACAGCAGACCACCTGCAGTCAAGCAACATCGCAAATTGCAATCTAGATCCAGTATGCATGCATGGCGACAACGAACGATCCGCGTCATCCGCTGGCATGCCTTTCTCAAAATTTGCCCATGAGGGACTGTGCGTTTACCCATCCCAACCTTACTGCAAATTGCCGCAGTGGCGGTTCTCGTTGCATCTGCTATTTTCTCTCAAGTGGGGAAGGAAGGGGCCCGCAGAAGGGAGTGGGCTGCGCGCTAGTACACGTGTGTGTGCAATGAGTAATGGTGTGATGCTAAACGCGATGGTAAGATGGGTAAGCTCCAGTGTCCTTTTTTTTGGCGTTGAGCGGTGTGTACGATGCATGAATAGCCTACCTGCTCCAAATCAGGGAGCCGAAGAAGAAAAAACGTTGCCACCCGGGCTGTTGAAGGCGCTGGTGCGATAAGGGGGGAACAGGGGTTCGTGAGCATTGTTTGTTGTTGTTGCTACCACGAGTGTTCTCGGTATGTTCATACCGATGCTGCCTTAACAGAATCTGCATATTCGTTTCTCCCATGTCACTCATCAAGGCTTTTCCCGAGCGCAAGTTTTGTAGATCTTCTTCCACTCAATTCCTTAGTTTTCGCATTCCCTTTACCGCGGTTATTGTACCCGATTATGCATATGTAGGCGACCTTGGAACTCGCCCACGGCATTTACCGCTATACTTGTAGATTTCCCACCAGCTTCAATTTCCCACCAGCTTCAATTTCCCATCCCGGGGTGGCTTGTCTAGTTCCATTCGTTTCTGGCAGTCAGTCGCGACAATAAGACGTGGCGTGATGATCGCTCGGACTTACGTATAATACAAGTTTCTCTTGCCCTGCTGAAGATCAAGGCATCTCTTTGGAGGCATGTCCGCGACACGATTAACGCTACCCAACTTTCGTCAGGCTCGGTACCAAAATCCGTGGGCTCGGTGGCTCGGTGAAGAGTTATATGCTCCACCCAATCTCTTCAGCTTGCTTTCAATTTATGTTCCCTAGTATTTAGCAGCATCTTGGTCCACGAGCCCGACTCCGAAATCGCTCCTCTTCACGTTTGTCGTTGTGCTACGCCCAGACCTTCACTTAGTTCAGGACGCGATGACTGCCCGAGAGATCGGTACCTACTAGGCAGGTATTGGTCAAACTCCTCGCAAAGCCATTGACACATGTCTGCAACGAGCCGCTCAGGTGGGATGTCTACCATCACGTGCTATCGCGTCATAGTCCCGCTCCACATAGCCTACACTATCGCGCTTACCTTCTTTCCCCTTTAGTCTTGTTACGTCTCTTCAACTACAACTGGAAACGACCTAAGAGCGGAACTTAGTCGCACACTGTCATCAAACATAGCACACCTATACAAGACTCATGATGAACCTCTCACTTCTCGGTTGCCTTGTTAGCTGTCGATTATGGCAAATTGGAGCCGGTGGACTCTTATGACTTCTGGTGTTGTCATTCTGGCCAGGTAGTATATGGCCCTTGCTGGATGGAATTACGCCGGGTTTAGGAGAGTATACGCTATCACCACTTACCCCTCAGCAACGTCACATCTTGGCCTTCCGATCGTACACCACATGCTACATCTGTGTTTCTTAGACAGACTATGATTGTATATCCCAATCCCCACAAGACCAACCACCACCATCTACGTAGACCTCGAAACCCTCGAAACAGGAAAACACACAGATCATTTCACTGTCAAGACAAGAGCATCCACCATGTCCATCTCCGACCTACCAACCAAGATGTGGGCAGCGCAAGTCGTCGCATTCAACTCACCTTATAAAGTCCACCAAATTCCCCTCCCATCAGATCTCGCACCGAAGGATCTCCTAATCAAAGTCGCTGTCGCATCACTCTGCTATACAGACTCGATGGTCTCTTCTGGGAAAATGGGCACACCGCTCCCCTGCACAGCCTCCCACGAAGGCGCCGGTACTGTCGTAGCCAAAGGTTCTTCCGTAATCGACTTCGAAATAGGCGACAGAGTCATGGCAGGGCTACTATACCATGCGTGCGGGACCTGCGCTGAATGTCAAGGCCCCTCAGCTTGTCCACAATACTGCCAGAAGACCGGTGGCTTCCTGGGCGTGACAAACAACGGCTTCTTCGCTCAGTACGCCAAAATCGACGCCGAGCAAGCAGCAAAGTTACCCGATACTGTGTCTTTCGAGACTGCTGCTCCGCTCGCTTGTGCGGGCATCACTATCTACCGTGGCGTTGTTTTGTCTGCCGTGCAAAAGGGGGAATGGATAGCCATTGTAGGCAGCGGAGGTGGTCTTGGTCATCTCGGAGTACAGTTTGCAAAAGCAAAGGGTTTGAAAGTTATTGGTATTGATGCGCGGGACGAGGGTTTGGAACTGACACGGCAGTGCGGTGCAGATGTTACTATCGATGCCAGGACCAGTCACAAAGACATCGTTAAAGCTGTACATGCTTGCACGAACAACGAGGGCGTAATGGCTACTCTGAATGTTAGTGACGCATCGACGGCAGCGGCTACGGCTTGCGCAATCACCAAGATGCATGGCACTATGGTTCAGATCGCGCAACCAGATAATGTAGTCATTCCATATCAAGAACTTATATTTCGTGATATTAGGGTGAGGGGGTCCGTTATCTCTACTGTGGATGAGGCGCGCGATATGTTGGAACTAGTTGCAGAGCATGACATTATTGTGCAAACGAATGCGTTCCAGGGGCTAGGTGAGATTGAGAAGCTGGTTGGATTGGCGCATGGCGGAAAGATAAAGGGAAAGGGTGTTATTATCATGGACCAGGAGCAGATTGAGATGGAGAAAAAAATTGGAGCAGGATTGTAAGGAGATACATATTCACTGAGCAAAAGAAATGCACGAGAGCACGATGGTTCAAAGCACCATGCTGTGTACTAGCAATGTAAAACCAAATCTGAGTTCAAATTATACACAAACGCGATTATACTACAAGTCTACGAATATACATATTAACCCAAAACCCGTCCAGCAGTGGAAGCCGTGCTCCTGTCCTTAGTCTCTACCTTCCTCAAACCCTTACCGGCAGTGATCTCGCCGAGCAACGCTCCACGGTTCGGCACTCCACCTGGAGGCTTCATGCTAGGCATTGGGGGTGGGGGAGGTGCAGCACCACCCGGTGGCGGCGGCGGGCCTGGTGGTGGCGGAGGCGCACCACCTGTTGGCATTGGTGGAGGTGGTGGGATGCCTGTAGGAGGCGACGTCACAGCTGGGCTCTCAGCACGTGGGCTCTTGTTGTCCATTGAAGAGAGTGGGCGTGGTGGCGCCATGGTACCGAACAACATGGATGCCAGCTGCTTGGCTCCGCCTTGGGTGGGCGCTTCATCGTCGTCGGATGAGTCGTCATCTGAGTCGACAACGGACCAGTCATCATCGTCCTGTCTTAGTCTGCGCGCTGAGGGTGCAGCGGGCTCGTTGAACGTAGGCGCAGCAGCCTTGTTAGCTTGCTCCTGAGTAAGACGGTGGAAAGGGTTTGTAGACACCTCGCTCGTGTTGCTCGGCGGGGGCGGAGGTGTCGAGACAGTGTTGTTCTCCTGGTTGGACATGGCCATCTTCTTCAAGAATGGGTTCTTGGTCTCAGTATCGCCCAATCCAGGGTGAGGACTAGTCACCGAGGACGCAGGCGGGCTGGCGATGGACGATGGTGGTGTGTTGTGCGAGATCTGGGGAATTGATGGTGCTTGCGGAGGTGCTGTATCACGTGGTAACTCTTGACTGGCGGTAGGTGTGGTGTCCTGAGGCGTGATGTTTTGTGGGCCATCGTCGTCCGAGGATTCGTCATCGTCGAGCGCCTCAAGCTGCATCTGTAGCTGACGTTCGCGCTCACGAGCAGCTTCGATCTCAGCACGCTGGGCGGCCAATCGGGACTCCTTCTCCTTAGAGTCCTTAGAAGCAGCTTCCCTACGCTTCTTCTCTTCAGCCTTCTTGAGTTTGCCTTGTTGAACTTGCTCTTCTAGAGCACGAAGCCTAGCCTGAGCAGATTCGCGCTCCCTGGCCAGTTCATCCTCTTGTCTGCGCTCCTCCTCCCTAGTGTTCATTAGTACAGATGTAGAAGATGGGTCAATGGATACATACTCCATGCGCCTTGTCTCAGCTTCTTGAGCTTCCTGCTGCTCGCGGAGGGCCTTCTCAGCCATGTCATTGTCTGCCCTCTTCGACTCTGCTTCCGCTTGTTGGACATCATGCTGTGCAACCTCGGCCTTGTTCTTGCGCGAAGCTGGTGGCGGCGGTGCTGGCTTCTTGCCACTGCTCTTGGTTGGAGCAGGTGGTGAGGCGGACTCGTCGTTGAGACGTCTTTGACGCTCTTCCTCGCGACGTGCATCCTCCTCTTCAGCCTGACGCAGCTTCTCTTCACGCTCTCTCTTCTCACGTTCGGCACGCTGTTGAGGTGTCTCACCAGCCTTCACCGGAGCTTTGATACCTAGGGCAGCCAAACGCTCGGCCATGCGTTGCTCAGCCTGTTGCTTGATGAAGGCCGCACGTTCCTCTGGAGTCTTGTATACCGAATGCGAGCCACCACCGGGTGTAGTTGTTGATGCACGAGGAGGAGGGTCAACACGAGCAGCAGGGCTCTCGTAGCGAGATGTCGCTGGTCGCCTCTCCTCTGAGCGAGCCCTGTAATTATCGCGGGACTTACTGTGTGGGGTCAGCAAGATGGTTATTGAGATCTATCAGATAGCACTTACTCGTCTTTGCGGATGCGCGAAGCCCGGCTGCTGCGCTGCAGGTCAAAGATGAAGTCCTTGACATCATCTTCTACACCCAAAGCCTCCTCCCATCGGCGTCGTTCATGCTCACTTGTGTTGTCATGCCCTCCTTCTTTCAAGCTCGACTCTAGACCCCTAGTGTATTCATTTACGCTATCTTCAACATCGCGGATCATGCGCTCATTGTTCTCCCTCTCTGCTCGGATGCGCGAGTTTTCCTTCTCCAAGCGCTCAGTTGCAGCGCCAGTGTCATCGCTAGCAGGAGCAGGTCTTCCGGTCAATGCAGCAGAGCGTGCTTGCATCATAGCCTTGGCGCGGGCTTTCAAGCGATCTGATTCAGTCACCGCACCGCCAGGTCCAGTACCCACAATAGTAGATGCAGATCCGGGATGCGCCTTGGCATCCTTAAGCCTGAAGAGCTCAAGTTGGGCATCTGCTATCTCACGCTCTGTCCTGCGTACATTGGATGCGAGTTCAGGTAAGCGATCAGTCAAGGTCTGGAGTTGGCGCTTCAGAGCACGACGTTCGGCGTCCGAGTCAGACGATCTAAGTGAAGCTTTAGGATGGGCATCAATATCTTCTTGTACCCTGCGGATGCGGCGGTAGAGATCCTCAGCTTCTCGGCGGTCTCGGCGATCCAGCGCATCGTCTTCGTCAGCTGCGTTCTCGTCTTGTGTGTCCATAGCATCCAACAGGATCTGCTTCTCTTTGACGGACTTCCTGAGCTGGTCAAGGGACATTTCGTCGGATCGCTCAGAAGAAGGAGAAGCCGGCTGCGCTGGTGAAGGCGAACGGCCACCGCCACCAAGACGGTGTCTGGCACTTGACTTGTAGCCTACGTTATCGTCATTGTTACGGAAAACTGTAGCATCCTTTCGGCCACCGGCTTGCGGGCTACCAGCACGGAACGAGTGAGACTTCAGGTAGCTGACACCAGTGCGCTGAGGCTGAAGAAAAGCACCAGAGTTCTTTCTATCCTCGGCATCTCCACGGAGCAAGTTCTTCATTGCACCAATAGAATCGTTGATGTTGCGCGTAGATGGTGGTACCAACTCAGGGGGGAGGCGAGCGGGGATGGGATAGCCGTTGAGCTTACGGTAGATCAGATGCATGGCAACCGCGAACTGGTCTAGATCAAGACGACCTCTGTCAGCAGAGTCGGCGAGTGTCCAAATGCGCTCCAAATCTGGCTTGGGCAGTCCACTCTGTTCAAAGATCTCAAGAGCTTGTGCTCCACTGATGTAACCTTTGGTCATACCATCCCAGGCTCGGAAAGTATCATCGTACAGCTTCTTCTCTCCTTTGTAATGGCCCAGGGAATCGTGGCGTTACCCGTCAAGCCAGCAGTCGTGTGGTTGCCACCCTCCCGGCCAGTCTGAGGCATCATCCGCTGCGCCAAAGCTTCGATGTTTGGCAATCCAGTGGCAGGAGTGTTAGCTAGGCCCCACTGACCGGGCATCCCTGTTGGCTGAGCATTGAGAGGAGCCATTCCGGTCTGGTTAGGTGCCAGGTTTGATCCGAATCCAGTGGGCATAGGAGGCATTGGTGGACGTGGTCCGTTATAACCACCAGGAGCCTGCCCAAAGCCAGTGGGCTGTGGCTGCATACCAGTGGGTTGCTGTCCGAAACTTGTAGGCTGCGGCTGCATGCCCATTGGCTGTTGTCCATATCCAGTTGGCTGCGTGACTAAAGTGTTCAACAATTGGCTGTTCGAGGGCTGCGGCTGCGGCTGCTGGATTGTAGGAGGCTCGTTGAACTTCGGGGCGTTGCTTGCTGGTGTTGGGCGATTTGACGAATCGTCGCTGACCCCAAACGATATGATATCCACCATGCTAGAGACCTCGTTCTTGACTCGTTCGGGGAGAGAGTTGGGCAGGTCCTTTCCGGTCAACTTGAGGTTGCAAAGATACATGGCGAGCGCGAATTCAGGAAACAGGAGCTGACCGGACTTGGTTGTATCTGACAAGGTCCTACGCCTGTTAGCATTGGACTATGCGTGAGATTTGTTGAACGTACCAGATGTGAGAAAGCGCATCGCCAGATAGCTTAGAGCGCATCAAGAGGTCCCGCGCCTGGTCTCCAGACAAAGCCTGGGCATCCCCAACAGCCGACTTGAACAGCTGCTCAAACTTGGCCTGGTCTTGCGCCGTGATAAAGGATAGCCGTATGTTCGGAATCTTGGTCGTCTTGGCAGGGACAGGTGGTGGTACTGAAGACGCAGAGCTGCCCCGGAATGAATCAGCCATCTGCGCCGATGTCATGCCTGTAGGCTGCGGCCGTTGGGGCTGAGCAGGCGGTTGCTGCTGCTGCTGCTGCTGTTGCGGCGGCGCGCCAGTTTGGAAGGGCATTTGCTGGGGAGCCTGCTGCTGCTGGAATTGCTGGTTCTGCTGCCCTGGGAAGCCCGTGTACTGCGGTTGCTGAGGTTGCGGCGGCTGTCCAAAGCCCTGCGGCTGGCCCGGAAAGCCAGTAAACTGTGGTTGCATTGGAGCTCCTCCGAATCCCGTCGGCTGGGGTGCTAGTCCACCTTGAAAGCCCCCAGGTTGCTGGAAGGGCTGCTGTTGCTGCTGCCCATACTGAGGCTGCCCTGGTCGGGCACTGTTCCCACCCCCTAAGTACGAGTTGGACCCAGAGAACATGGTGGGCGAGTTGTCGCGGGTCGATTAGAGAAGTAAAGATGCGCGCATGCGGTGGGAGAATTGTAGACGTATAAGGAGTGCGCACGAGCGGGAATGGGGAAAGGTGTAATGAGGGTGGTTGAGAGTCTGTGCAGCTCGCGCAGCCCTGGAGGTCCCAGGGTAAGTTCGCGCTAAAGAGGTTCAGTCGTCATCTTCGAGGACGCGCTTGCCTCCTCGGTAAGCACCAGGACCCAACATTCACCACTTCTTACATCATCTTCACCATGTCGAATGCACAGGACGGAGCAGGTGCTGCACCGCATTCAGAGGCCGACCTTGCCCAAGTGAGTGTCGTGGTAATCGCTCTACTTCGGGAATTAACAGCTCTGGTAGGCGTTCAAGGAACTCCAGCGAGGCGAACAGACCGCAGCCGCCCTAGAGAGCCACCTTGATTCGATCGAAAAGAAGATTGAGGCACTTCTGGCTCAGGCCGAGAAGGCTGAGCAAGAGTTGAAAGACACCCCAGAAGATACCGAGAAGTCTTCCGCGACCGAAGAAAAGGGTTCAAAGTGATGTCTACAAAGCCATGCGTCTGCTCTATCATGTGTAGCATGAACACCAAGACACATCCTACATCACATCCAGATTAGAGACATCACAGGCACGCCATATAGATTACGAGAACCACGATCGAGCATTACAGTTCTCATGAGCACGATGGATGACACGGGCGAGGAAGGATACAAACATGGTCAATGCGCTCTCAGCACAACGGTCATGTTGAAGTCTCTTGATTAAGGAGGCGCATCATGCGCTTTTACGTGTTCTTGGGCAATTGTTCATAAGCCACCGATGGTCGAAGGCTTTACTTTGGAACCCTCCGTCCTAAAGACTTCATCCAAATGGAACACACCATTGCTATCCTTCTCAACCACACCTACCTCGGTGATGATGCCATCGATGAGTTCTGCAGGTGTGACGTCGAAAGCTGGGTTCCACACACCGATGCCGTTCGCTGCAATACTGATAGTCTCCACAACACCAAGATCCAGCGTGACTCCATCGTGTCTTGGCCCCTTGACGAGCGTCACTTCCTTTCCGGGACGTTCCTCAATGACAATGTCTGCTCCCGATTTGGTCTTCAGGTCGATAGTAGTCCTTGGTGCTGCAACCAGGAACTTGACGCCATGGTGCTTCGCAAGGATGGCTAACGAGTAGGTTCCAATCTTGTTGGCAGTGTCACCGTTTGCGGCTACTCGGTCGGCGCCTACCACGATGCCCGCAATATTTTCGCTTTCACCACGTAGTCGGAGTAGCGCTGCGGCCATGGAGTCTGTGATAAGAGTCGCAGGGATCTTGTCGTGGACCAATCGAACGCGGTCAGTCTGGAGCCTTGGTTGTATGGCCGTGTCTCAGAGCAGAACGCATGCTTTAGTGAGCCGTTGGCATGCAGCGATCGGATCACACCAAGTGCTGTACCATACCCTGCAGTTGCGAGAGACCTACAAAATTAGCAGTGGAACGCCTTTGATGCAGAATGGTACACACCCGGTGTTGCAGTGTGTCATCATGCTCACAGGCCCCTTCTCGCCTGCCTCCGTGTTCTTCACTATCCATTCCGCGCCATGTTTGCCGATGCTCTCATTGTCGCTCACGTCGTCAACCAGCATCTTCTCCGCAGCAGCCACATATGCTTCTCTTACAGCCTCTCCGCTCGCTCCCTCATTTGCAGCGGCTTCCTCGGTAACTTTCCGAAGTTTACCAGCTGCGTCTGCGAGGTTGACGGCAGTTGGCCGGCTTGTTACAAGGTAGTCCAGCTTTTCCGTGATGAAGATTTTGACCTCTTCTGCTACCGAAGAGAGCTTCATGTTGGTGAGCTCAACTGCGAGGGCGAGAGCAGCGACTATGGCGATAGCCGGTGCGCCTCGCGTCCGCATCTCCTTGATTGCGTGCCATGCATCAGTGCTGGAGTAAATGTGATCATATTCTTCAGCGTGGGGTAATTTCAACTGGTCCAGAATCTCGAGCTGGCCGCGCGTGTATTTGATTGCTTGGAGTACCATTCTAGAAAGTCTGTAGTTTGGTGTGCTACTCCAATCTCCAATGTGTCGCAGAAAATTTCAAGATTCTGAACGTTGGGTGTCAATTGCCCCATCGCGCGGAGTCCGCGGACGTTAACGCTAACACGTGGGAGCTGCTCGACCCAAGTATACGTACAGCCCAAACCAAGATACATAACATAACATAAACGAAGCATTTACAGTCCGCTGTTCGGCATCGAAGGCCCGCTGCTCCCTCAAGATCTGTAACTTTTGACCCTCGGCATGACGGCACACGATGACGAAATTGAGCCACGTGTGGCTCGTTGCCAAGCCCGGATTCAGCCACCAAGCAACGCACCTGCCGGTATAGGCGACGGCCTCGCTGTTCTAGCCGGACAAACATGAGCTGTCAAGTTTTCATTACTACCATATATAAAGCAATGGTTGGCGATATGTATATCAAGGGAGACGGAAAAGTTACTCAGGATCAAATATCTCATCTTCCGCTGGAAAGTGCGAGCATCTCAGCCCTACAAGAGCCGCACAATAAAGGGTCCTCCTACTGTCAGGAACCCGACAGTGAATTGACCGCGGTAGCCCCATGACGACGCCAACACTCGGACTTCACGCCTATACCCTACGGCCCCTACGCGCTCGATTGCTTCTCCGTACCCTCTGCTTTCGCTCAATTTGTACATGCCCATTTCTCTAGCTGTTCGCCCCATCAGGACTGTGTTGTCCAACCAAGACGTTTTCGGCAACCACGCCTGTTGCTAGTCACCCCGATAGGCGGAGAAAAAGACCCACATCCTCACTATTTATCTTTCCCAACACCACAAGCAGAGGAGGCCATCCAGCCAGAGAGACATACTGTGCACATGCACATACCAGCCAATCGCTTTACTTCGCCGTGCTTTACTGGACCTCGTAATTTGGGCCCGATATCGATTGGAAGGTCGGACGGGAGAGATCGCCACGCCTCGAACAGCCCCGCGCAGCTTTGCGCCAGAGTTATATAACGATGCCCCTCATGCCGCGCTCGAACTCGAGCGTTGGGGTAAGCACAGCAGTCATGGCTTCACAGGAAGAGCCAATACAACCCACGTACCGAGGCTACGGCACAATCGCCTCCCAGCGACCTGCGCAACGCCAAAGACGGCACTCATGGCACACACGACCCTGCATGCAGGAAGCGGAGAACTTCCAGTTACTGGTAAGTAATACAGTGCGCCTGCGCTTCACGATATACTAACAATTAATGTAGCTTCGGAACTTTCTGGTCGAACTCAACTGCCGCATGGATTTTCTGGAAGACTATGGCCACCTCAAGTACGATGCTGGTGTTGAATACGCATACAACACATTGCTTGCCGTTCGCGAATCGTGCTCGAAGATATCCGATGGCGCAATCGAAGCCGGCCGGCGACAGGCTTCTGTTTTCGTCGAGACGTTGGAGGGACGATACAAAGATGCGATGGAACGGAAAGAGACTCTAGGTGAAAAGGTCCTGGAGGGTATAGTGCTTATGGACAACTATCTGACCGAGTTTGAGACGCGTGCATATGCTATAAGAGACGGATCAATCGGCTCTTATGCACAGGAATTCTATGAGGAAGGTCGGAGGAAGATGGACGAGGGAATAGAGATCGCAAAGGGCGTTGTGGACGGTGGTCTGGACAAGGCACGACGCGCACGTGAAACCATCGAAATCCGAGTTGAGCACGCCGTACAACGAGCGCTAGAGCGAGCCAAAGCACATGGCCTGATACACTACGAGGACCTACCAGAGCCATGGCGAGTCAACCCACATATTCTCAAAGGCTACCGTTTCCAGGAAGGCAAGTGGGCTTGCGTTCGATCCATTTTCGGCCTTCACAACGAGCTAATCAATATCTGGACACACCTCCTCGGGTTTATCATGGTCCTTGCTATTGCCTTCTACTTCTACCCTTCGAGCGCCAATTTTAGCATGTCGACCAAAGCCGACATCTTTATAGCAGCAGTGTTCTTCTTCGCGGCATGCAAATGCCTGGCTTGTTCGACCATCTGGCACACGATGAACAGCATATCACACCAAACACTCCTCGAGCGCTTCGCCTGCGTAGACTACACCGGCATCTCTCTTCTTGTGGCTGCGTCTATTATGACGACTGAATATGCCGCTTTCTATTGCGAACCAGTCTCCCGCTGGTCATACATGTGCATAACAGCACTTCTCGGCATCGGTGGTGTTATCCTACCTTGGCACCCAACTTTCAACCGGGCGGACATGGCCTGGCTCCGCGTCCTCTTCTACTGCTCCCTCGCCCTGACTGGCTTCCTGCCATTTGGCCAGCTCGCCTACACTCGTGGAGTCGCATGGGCACAGTATTTCTACGCACCTGTTACCAAGAGTCTGCTTGTGTACGTTACTGGAGCATTGTTGTATGCGAGCAAAACGCCCGAGCGCTTCTTCCCCGGTTTTTTCGATTACGTGGGCTGCTCGCATAACATTTGGCATGTTGCTGTGCTGGGAGGTATCATCTTCCATTACATGGCTATGCAGACTATGTTTACGCAGGCTCTTACTCGGGCTCAGACAAGCTGCTCTATGTACTAAGAGGGAACTTCTCTCTGCTATCTTCCGCCCTACCTCTTCCACTTCTTCTCCTTTTTCTTCTCTTTCTCTTCCTGTTCATGTGGAGCGTTCGGCATTGTTGAGCGAGTAGGGTACTTTTGCATTGGGTAGGCGTCTGGCTTGTAGATGTTTAGGATTGTTGGAGAGAAGACCAGTGCTCTGCCGACGGGCGCTATGCTGAGCACTGCGTTTGACACTCATGTAGAATGTCTATAGCTGTTAGATTCTGCATTTTACATGTTCATACCAAGTTTTCACTCGTTATATATGTAGATGATGGTTTGCATCAAAAGGTTCACAAGTGATTTCAGAAACACATGTGAGCTAGTGAATTCCTTCTTTCCATCGACGATCCCAGAAATACTTCTCGAGCTAGCATCAACTGCTTGATATGACCTGAACGCCTTTCGCTATGCATATAACCCATTGTGGCCCTACCCGCATCATGCCCATCCTCAGTTTAATGACTATCGGGCACGTCTGGCAACCTCTCAATAACGTATTTGCCCTTTGCCACGCTAACAATCGGCACACCAGGAATCTTCCTTATGCGCCTCTTGAGATCCCTGTCGTTTGTCGCAACCAGATAGATTCTGTGTTTCTGAACCCTGTCCACAATACAGTCATCAGCATAAGTGCCCTTGTGCTCGCACTTGAGGCGCTGCCATCTTTCGTCGCGAGCGATCCTGAGCGCAATACGGTATTTGGGACCGAGTTTCTCGAGTTCGGCCATGACGCAGGTCGTGATGATAGGGGTGGCTTTTGCGTAGAGGAGGTCCATGAGGGCCTTGTCGAGCTCGAGCTTGGCATGCACAGTGTGGGAGAGGAAGTTGGTGTCTACGAGAACGGAGTACGGCGGACCAAGGGCGGTGTTGGCTTGGAAGAAGAGGGCGGACGAGACTTGTGGGCTGTAAAGTGTTAGTCGTGTATGCTCGTCGTTGGCGCGTGATCACTCACATTTCTCGCTTTGCCTTGCTTTCTTCCTCTTTCTTCTTTGCTTCTATCTCTCCAGCCATTTGGTTCTTCTTACTACAGCGGAATTAGCGCTTCTATGGCAAACAGCAGTGGGGGCGCGTTGTCGCGTACAGTCGAGCATCCCGTTGACCTGAACATGTTAACAGAGGCTTATCTAGATATGACGCCAAACATACCAACGATGCGCTTGGTTTGCGCAAACTTGCGCGTTCTCTTCTGAACACCCATGATAGCGTGGGGCGTAGGGACTCTTGGTGGAGAGCTCTAAGCGGGATGTGAAGCTTCTCGTATTCGCGACTCGGCTGATGACGTAGCGTTGGAGTGAAAGCAGTAGCTTGCGCAGTGGTCGGGATTGCTGTCGTGTGGTGTTGGTTGATTGTTGGCAAACCACTTTTTGCTATCGATAAGGCGGCAACTTTTTGATGCCAAGAGGTCGAAAGTCGTCGGAGAGTCGAGGCGCCGATTGGTGGGCTTGCTTGACAAAGGGAAGAGCCCAACGCTACGCCCTAAATCCTCGGTCACGCAGGTCCCAGAATAGAAGCGGCGTTCCTGGGTTGGGGTCTGTCATCGTTGGCCCTGCATACCCATGTTTTTCCTTGCATCCCTGAGCCAGACAGCCAGTGCAGACGTCAACAACCGTTTGCTCCGAGGCCTGACACGCGGAATATTCAATCATCGCGAAACACACCTCGATCTAATTATTGTCCTGTCCGATAAATTCCCATCGCTAGTCTACATTGAATACGGCCAGACATCACGCGAACTGGACGCTCAGACTGCGCGTATTGCCCAGCGGGTCCTCGACTCCGCCCCTTGTTACCCTGACCCCGTCTTGCACTCCACCCTCAGCCTTTCCTCTCGTTCCCCGTCACTCGTTTCGGCGCTTCTCTGTCCTATCGATATTACCTGCGATTGCGTCTTCCTCTTGTTGTTTTTCCTTCACCAATCGAGTCTTGAAACACGCCTGCTGGACTGCGAGCCTTGACCACACGATCTCCTGATCCCTTGGCCTCTTCCGCACACTGCCCATCGGCGACCCTACCTCCGCACACACCTATACACAACAATCCAAGATGCGACCCTCTGTGGGCTTTGTGGGCCTACTGCTTGTGGTCGCTCCTACTGTACTCGCTCAAATCGAAAACGCACCCGACCTATCCACCGTCACGCAACCAGGAGGCGACGCAGCGACGAACGCACCATCCGAAACCTCCGCAGCCGAGACATCGCAGCCAGCGACATCACAGCCAGCAACATCAGAAGCTGCAACAACCTCACAAGCAGCCAGCTCTGAGACTACCGAGGCTGCAAGCACTGGAGATGCGCCCTCCAGTACCGCCGCCCAGACAGGGTCTACAAGCGTCTTCAACCTTGTAGGCGCGCCAACACTGGCTGGTATCGGTATCCCGGACATGAAAGTCCCAGACACAGCCGGTGCTGCCTTTATGCAAAAGTCCGATCTTCCAGATGGAACCGTCTTCATCTGCGTCGGTGCTATTCTCGCCTTCTTCGGTGCGGCAGTGCTGGCGTGGCGTGGTCTCGTTGCGTGGTCGTTGCATCGTTCCGTCAAGCGGGCGGCCATGGCTCAAAATATAGCTGATATCAAGGCCATGTCAGCGGTGCCTGGCAAGAAGCGGGGGATGTACAATGTGGTCGGAGCAAGTTCAACCATGTCTCTAGATCACCTAAACGCCGCTCCCATTGGCAAGTCGTCGAAAGCTTTCGCCGGTGCGCCTGGGCAGAGGTCTGCATCGTCTCTGTTCTTCTCTCCGACTGCAGGTGGCGCCGCCGGTATACGGGATTCTGTAGCAGCCCGATCCTCCACCTACCTTCCTGCAGGATACTACGCATCTGGTAACGCTGCGCCGGCTGCTGGATCACCGCAGATGCACATTGGCGGCCAGAACCCCAACAATCTTTCAGCCCTCTCCCTCTCCACACCAGGGAACCGGTTCAGCGCGAGATCTGGTATGTCACCACCAGAATCGCCATCACTTCCTCCATCCCGTGGAGGATACGCACGCGCACCACCATCACGAGATGGCCTGTCCGTATATAACCGCAACAGCGTCGCAACTCTCGGTCAACCTGGTAACACAAGAAGCATCTATGGCCAGGACGGCCACGCCGTAAGCCAGTTGTCGCTAAATGTACCCGGCGGCACAAACGTCCCTGGTGGCCGCACTCCTAGTGGTTATCTAGACGACCTGTTCGAAAACCATGGCACTGGATCAAGAGAGCGATTCTAGTTGGATCTCGAACAGCAGCCTGCAAAGCAGCGTACCGTAAGCGCGGGAAATGTGCTGAAAAGCAGTCCATCTGGCGTGTACCGGTTGGCGTATACGGCGGGGATGGAACGCGCTAGAGCTGTGTCGGCAAGCACTTTGTCCATAATAGAAGATTATTACCGCGCGTGAGGAGGCAAAGAAAGAGGGTGTAAAAATGAGAAAGAGGTTCTTGTTTATCTTTTTGCTTGCATGCATTGCGCGTGTGTCTCCCTGTTTTCGGGTTCACTACTTGGCTTGTGATACCATGTCATGCAGGTTGCTTTTTCGTCACTTTCCCCAACTGTGGTACCGGCTTCGGGTTTTGGGGGCGTGGATTGCCCGAGTCTGCCATCTTCTATTTATTTTTATTACTGCTTTACGTTTCTCTTATGATTGTAGGGAAGTATCCATGGATGCTCATTAATTACGCTGGAGTTCGACAGGCGTTCGAAAGAGAAGGGAGGGGGTGTGCTGCGACCGGTGTCCTGTTTCTGTACGTTTAGTATATTCGCGCACCTCTGCCAGACCGTTTGAACTCGAGGTACTACTGTAGATCTACATACCAGGACCCATAATGAACCATTACCAACAAAGAAGCGCTCGAATCGTTGTTCCTATGGATCTGGTGAAAGTGGTGGTAAGAAAGCCTGGAAGGAGCGTGTACTAAAGTGGTGCCAGTAGCGCTGGAGCTATGTACTCCGCACACTAAGACGTCTTTGCCTAGCATGTAGGCTTGCGATTACTTTGCAGATGGAATCACTTGGGACGAGTGGAAGAGGATCTTAGGGAATTAAAACGTATGGTATGAGTGTTGAAAGCCGTTCTCAATGCGTGGCTCGTATTGTAGTCTATCTCTCTATCTTACACCCACATGCATAGTCCAGTACCTTTTTATCTACCAACCACAACCCATAGATGCTAAACTTTTGCAACACTACAGCATATGTTGTGTTCGTATACAAGTGGCTACCTTGCCTTCTTGGCCATGGCCTTGCGTTTTCTCGCCTCGCCGTTGAGGTTGGATGCGGTAGCGTTCTGGATGGCGGCCTCCTCTTCGGTGAGGTTGGAGGTCTCGAGCAATGGCTCGTCGATCATCTCTTTCTTTCCGAGGACGCGCCCAACTGATTGGTTGTAGGCAAATTTGGGTAGCTTAAACAGGAGGGTGTCGTAGATAGTAGGCTTGGGCTCCTCATCGGGCTGGATACTGTTAGCTTCTCGATTATGTTGAAGAGTTGAGTGTACGTACGTCGACCAGATATTCGCCCTTCATTCCATCCTCGTTCTCAATCTCCAAGAAGACATTGCCAACGGAGTCGACGACCAAGACCTTGCCATTCTCGGCGACGATGCGCTTCTTGGCTCCCTGAGGACCAGAGATTACCTCTGCCTCAACCGGGGTGCTGATACCATCGGCACGCGCCTTCTTGACAGCTTGCGCCTTCTTGGGCTTGCGAGCATCCTTCTCCATAGCGCGCCTCTCCCTACGGTTGCGTGGGCCTAGCTCCTCTGGTGTATCCTCGGGCGAATCCTTCTCGAACTGTTCGGCGTTTACAGGTGCGGCGGTGTCATCGACTCTAGGGATGCCCTGAAGACCACTCTCATCACCCCAAGCAGTCTTGCGTGCCTGGCGAATGTATCTCTCCGCAAACTCCCTGCGGCGCTTCCATGACATCAATAGAGCAAAGTAGTGGAAGCCTCCACCGAAAACAGCGAGTAGACCGACGATAACTGAGCCGAGGCCAGGACGGAAGCGCTCGTAGTAGTAGCCAGAGCCCCTCCATGCTGGGAATCCGTTCCTTAAGAAATGGTCATAACGCTCGCGCTCGGGGCCCTTGAGCATCTTTCCAACAACCGAGAGACGCTGGTAGGAGGCGGTGACCTTCTTCAAGTGTGCCTCAATCTCCTTGTTGGATGGCTTTCCCTTCTTGTTGTTGTTCTTGGCATAGTTGGCAACAAAGACCTTGCGGGCCTTGTCAGGGTGAAGTTCGCGCGACTTCTTGCGGAGGGCTTGAGTCAATTGGTCTTGAGACGCGCTGGGCTTGACACCGAGGAGATCGTAGAAGGTGACATTGGCGCCGTCTGCTTTAGCAACTTCGTCACGGATGCGGAAGATTTCGTGGTCTGCGGTAAGCTGTCAGCAAGTAGCTCGCAGCTGGAGCTGGGGAAATGCATGTGGGGAAAGCGCATATGTGGCCGGAAGCATGCAATGGAAGACGAGACACAACAGGAAAAGTTACGCACCCTCTTTAGTCCAGGCAGCTGCGAATGCTGCAAAGAGGCACAAGACCAATGCGAGCAACGCGTGAGATCTCATGGCTGGGGTTGATCCGGGAGGTTGCCAGGAGAGTTGGCGGGTCTTGGAGCAAGTGATAGGGAGGCTGCAGGCTTGTGCAGCCAGATGTTCAGTAGTGCCGTGAACCCGCTGTAGAGACGGAACGTGGCCCAATCAGTCTGACCGCTATGGACGAGACACAAGTGTAGCAGGCTCAAGGGATAAAGAGCTCCTCCTTGTCCCGATGCTGTCACGATCCTCCTTCACTCCAAATTTCCGAGTTCGAAACAAAAATGTGGCCTCTCCAAGACTTGCATGTGAGACTCGGCTAGGGGGGGGATCGCGGCTGAAGGTTGAGCGCTCTGTGGCTGTGTTCTGTGGGCAGGCACGACCCTGAACTACGGGATTCGCGGCAGGGGCCAACAAAAGTTCCAATACGGACAGTGACACGCAACGCTCTCCTCTCACACCACTTCCACTTCACATACATTCACTTCGGCCGCGTCAGCTCCTTCACTCTCTCGCGCATCTTTCCCACCAACGTAAGGCAGCCATCTACTATAAACATCTCAACCTCATTCCTGTCAAGAGGACACATCTCCAGCCTTCGCTCCATCTTCCACCACTATCAGCAGCTGAACTGACCATGACTTCCCCCAAAGATCTCGAGGAACAACAGCAAACTCTCATCACCCCCGACGAACGCCAACAAGCATCACCTGCCCCTCAAACTACAACCAACACACCCTCCGTCATGTCGCGCTTCAGCATCCCCATCGATGCCCTGACATCCAGGATGAACCTCGGTGGGCGCTTCGACGGCCTGCGCAATACCTCCGTCTCCTCTCGATTCGCCAACCTGCGACCAATTTCCGAGTTCTTCGACTTCAAGCGCGTTTCCAAGCCCGCCAACTTTGGCGAGGTACAGAGCAGAGTCAACTACAACTTGGGCTACTTTTCGAGCAACTATGCCGCCGTTTTCGTCATGCTCAGCATCTACAGCTTGATCACCAACTTGAGGCTTCTCTTCGTCATCTGCCTCGTAGTCGGTGGCATGTTCGGAATCGGCAAGCTGGAGGGAAATGATCTCCAGCTCGGTAGCTGGCGCGCTACTACCTCTCAGTTGTACACTACGCTCTTCGTCATTGCAATTCCTACCGGACTTTGGGCCTCTCCCTTTTCTACGGCTCTCTGGCTCATTGGCGCAACCGGTGTCACTGTCATAGGTCATGCTGCGTTCATGGATAAGCCCATCGAGTCAGCTTTTTCCGAGGAGGCGGTCTAGGTGGTCGGCCGCGAACTCCTTACACTATGCCCTCATGGGGAAGACCACCAGGGGGCTCGTCGGGTGTGGGGAGATATTATGAGGGGGCGCAAGACGACGTGCATAGGTTTCAAGAATTGGATAGCGAAGACGAGAAGGGTGGCGTGATACTAGACCAGGCGTTTCAACCGGCCTTGAATGGCAAGAGCATCAATCCAGATGAGCTATACTTTAATGATATGGATATCGGGGCGTGGGAGGGCAGGACATCAGCCTTGGGTGAGGCGACATACCGGCCAGACCATAATTACCAAGAGCATCGTAGTGGATATCATGACGACATGGGTAACAACAATAATTCGGCTGAATACGAAGAGATACTTTTTCGACGAGTACTCGATAAGATTCGGATAGCAAGAGCAGCAGGAAATACAGACGTATCATTGAGTCAAGAAGAGCTAGAGGCGTATCACTCACGACTTTATGGTTCCAGATCGACGGCATTTCGTCCTGAAGCCCAGCCTCGACCAAGCAGTGCTTCCTTTCCCAACGATGCGGCAAGTGTGATCAGCGTTGATGCGACTAGCAAGCACGGCAGCTCCTCCAGGTCGAAGAAAAGCCAGCAACGAACCTCCATGTTTGGGTCAAAGTCGAAGAAGGAGAAGTCTAGCAGTCACAAGCGTACATCCACTACAGAGAGTCGTGCACCGCCGCCGGGCTTCGTTATTCCTGGCCCAGATGGGCAGCCTGTGTATGCGCCAATCAACGCCTATCAGGGCAACTTGGATCGTGAACGGGAACCCTTGCGCCCGGCGTCGCGTTCCGCGTCTGATACTAGTCATCACGCTTCCTCGCCCTCACATGCCAGCTTCTCTCGTGACATGCTTGGCGCCTTTCCAGAGTCCGTGTACGATTACCGCCCCACCACTCCTCCACAGCAAGGCCGTTCCATGTCTTCTCGACAAGCAGCGTACGAGGCCGATCTTCCACATGGCTCACGCACAAGATCGTCTTCCATTCAATCCGCTGGACTTGTTCCGTTTCCTGTGGAGCCCTACCAGTACCATGCCTTCAGTCCGGCGTCTTCTTCTTCACCGACTTCGCCTCAGCCGCAGTATACACGTAGAGTGAGTTCGGCAGTGTCTGAAGCTAGCTACACATCGGTGCCACGACGTGTTCCTGTTCCTGTCCCCGCATCGGTGACGCTTCAGCGAGCAGCACCTGTAGCGAGTAGTCACGTTGGCCAGTCGGATCCAGTTCTGGCTCCGCAGGCATCAAGTTCTGCCATTCCAGCTCTAGCTCAGGAAGCTACGAGGACCAGTGGCAGTGGACATGGAGGTGAGAGACGGCGGAAGAGTGGTAAAAGTAGGAAGAAAGGCTGAGGCATGTTGCTGTAACGGATCATGACAGATATCCCTTGCTCTTCATTTTGGTAATTATCATCCAATGGATTATTGCTTTCGTAGACATTGCATGAGATACAGGGCGTAAAAGACGGCCACGTATGTAGTGGGTCCTTGGTTATTCTGTTGTACTGATACATATATGTATTGTCTTCTCCACTGATGTGTGTTGTTCGATAACAGTCATTCAATCTGACTCTTAATCCGTTAAATGTGTCTCGACCGGGGAAAAAGTGTATGCAGGAACGGGTCGGCCGACTAAATCCAGACCATAGCACGTTTTGTTGAATGCCATATTGCGTGTACTGCATTTGCATCTTGCAGCAGCGTCTGGGCCTCGAACATTTGCAACGGCCTTGCAGGCACTTATGCCACAGGGGTGCGCGCACAAACGACGGTTGCACAAGGGAAACTTCGTCCGCAACCATGTCAAGAGTCTCGAAGCAGTATCAGATATCAATCGATATTGATGTAAGAAATTCGATGTCCATCTGTGTTGTATTTCTCTCGCCTAAAGACGAATAATCTACGCGATTTTCATGGTTCACGCACATCATCGTGCACTGCACAAGTGCCATCTGGGTCGGCATAAATCGAGGTGGCGGTACCTGCAGGGCTACGCAGGTCGCCCAACCACCAAAAAGCGGTCTGTTAGCTGCGACGATCATTCCTCTCAGCTCCACAAGTTCGCGCACATCTTTAAGCTGGCCAAAGTTCCTTCCATCACCAGCAAGCCCGCCGCGTTCCCCAACCGTGCCATATTTTGTGGTCTTCCTACCCGTTGACGTGTTCCCTACTAGTCATTTCTACATCCTGTTTCGCGCACGGTGGCCTGTGTTGTCATAGCAGCTTGAAAGTTGGGTTGCGCGCTCCGATTTAGTCGATTGGTAGGGCGTCCATCAGGCAAGGCAAGGCAAAGAAGCAGGGAAGAGCTCTATTTTATGAGGCGAACAAGAGGCGATTGAAGCCCAAAAGACCCACTCCCTTCACCGGACTTTTGTTGCGACAGCTCTTCTAAGACCCTGGACGTCGTTGCGCTGGCACAAGACTCACAGTCATAGTCATTGCTGTCGGCAAACCTCATCCACACGCATATACCATATCAGCATAGTTTGCGCTGAATGCGCTGGGCGTCAAAGTACACGTTACACCATCGCATCCCGACATCTGTTGTTCGCGCACATACATTGCGACGCTCGTCAACAACCAGCCTTGGTGGATCAACAACACCACTTACAGCATCTCTCAACCCAAAACCAACTCTACTTCTACCTTCTCCTAGCAACACAACACACAACAGCACTATGGGTAGCAGTTGGAACCCCTTCTCGACAGGTTCGCCCTCACGGCGCTCCTCGTCCTACCGCCCCGGCTACGCATCCTCCTCCTACTCCTCCTCGTCGCGCCATCACAGCTCAACATCGCGGTACAAGCGCTCACCCCGCGACTCGTACATGCAACACCTCTATAAGAAAATGCAACACTTCCTCCGAGAAATCTGGCGCTACGCCCAACGCCACCCCTACAAAGTCTTCTTCATGGTCATCATGCCCCTCGTCTCCGGCGGCGTCTTACACAAACTCGCCCGCCAATTCGGCGTCAACCTACCCGAGATGGGCGGACCGGGAGCAAGAGGCGGGTACGCTGGCTCGGGCCATCACAGCAGCAACAGCGGAGGTGCCAGTGGGGGCTACTACGGTAGTCAGGGATATGGCATGGAGAGCAGCCGGAGCGGCCCGAGTAATGGTGGCGGAGGCATGATGGCTGGACTAGGCAATATCGATATGCAGAGTGTGGCGGGCGGAATCGGTGGACTGGCTAGTTTGGCGAGTATGGCAAGCAAGTTCATGTAAAGCGGAAGAGAGGCTGACGCCTTCTTCTCCTTCTAGGAACGGTTGAGAATATCTTTACTATTACGAGGGTGGTGGGGAATCTTACCGGGAGTCGGAATGATTGGTGACATGAGGAGACGAGGAAGAGATGGGATATTGGCAGGCACGGGTAGTGTTTTGGTTTGGTTCTTTGTTGCACGACGTTACGACGGCACGACGAGGAGAGTAGATTGGGTTTCGAACCACATCCTCTCCTGTTTTGATTTCGGGTTGTTTATGTTTTTATTAGAGATATCCCTCCTTTGCGTAGGCTTAGACTTACATGGCGTTCAGATACAAATGCAAATAGCTTGGTTCATATAACTTGACTCGCCTTGTAAGCGTGCGATTCAGTGACAACACAAAGTACATGTTGATAAATAGTTCTCGTTCTAAACCAAAGGTGAAAAGATACCAAAGAAACTCTCAAGGATATCATCAGTCATACAGCCCATGTCAACCCATCACTTTCCACACCTCGTCCTCCCACCATGCCACTTTAAC